AAAAAAAAAAAAAAAAAAAAAAAAAAAAAAAAAAACACAGACATGTCCCACTAGCAGAGTTGAGTTTCGTCAACACCTGAAACACGTCCAGATTCAAGTGTTGATGAAACTCAACGCTGCTTCTCGGACCTGGCCCTGGTTGCATTCCACCAAGATACTAGAAGGGTGGTGGAGTTTTCTATATGCTGTTTTCAATTTATTTATTGCTATGGGCAGTGGGCCGGTAATAAAAAAGATAGTTCCAATAAAAAAACAAAAAGAAGGGTGGATTTTCCTGGGCCCCTAATAAAAAGATAGTTCTTAAAAAAAAAAAAAAAAAAAGGGTGGAGTTTCCTGGGGCGAGGTAGTGGAAAGCCTGGTTGGAACAAAGGAACATTGTCATAGGCGACCGAATGACCAAGGATACCTTTCGCAGATTGCTGTTGCAAACCGCCAAAACTCCAATGAAGGAGCTTAGCCACCCCTTTGCGACAACTGCAACGGTATCTGATGATCTAAATAAAATGTGCGAATTTGCTTGTCTGTACTTTGAGGACATCTTTACCACCAAGAGAACCTTTGAAACAACGGAAACGGATCTGAGAAACCAGTCTGACTTTTGGACCCAAACAGAGTAAAACTATCGATGGCTGCTAGACTAGATCTCGACAGACCTATTATGGAAGAAGAACTACGCTATGCAGCCAAACAAATGGCTAAGGGGAAAAGGCCAGGGGAGGATGGCCTACTGATTGAACTGTACTTAGTGGTTTGGTCGGATATCAGTCCCCTCCTCCTAGGGCCTTCGTACTGACAACATTGAAACAAATGGGCTTTCGTGATAACTATTGCCAATGGGTGGTCACAATGTATTCCTCAGCGACCGCTGCCGTAATGGTTAATGGAAAAATCCCAAAGCAATTTTCCTTGTCCCGGTCACTGAGACAAGGTTGCCCCCTAGCGCCACTTCTCTTCGTACTACAATTGGAAATATTATTAGACAACATTAAAACTACAGACCAGATCGAAGGGTTGAAGATCTCCCCTACCAAACAGTGCAAAGCAAGCGCCTTGGCAGACGATATGACAATTGCATGCAAGAACACAAAACACAACTTAGCAACACTCAAAAAAATCCTGAATACTTACTGTACGCTATCGGAGACTTCTATTAATTGGAATAAGTTTGTGTATTTCCTACCAGAAGGTTTTCGTTTGAAAGCTAACTGGGGCCTCAAGGCAGTCCCGGCAGATGCTTCGGATCGGTTCCTGGGTGTGCAGGTCTCCTTAAGCAACAATGCAGGGTTTCAAGACAGCCTTTTGGTGGAGAAGGTAACCAACAAACTTTCAAGCTAAAAGCACACGAGGCACCTCTCAATCACAGGAAGAGCATTGGTAATTTCCTCAGCAGGTTTTGCAGTGTTGTGGTTTACCTTGGCGGTTCACCTGTTGGGAGAAGAACCCTACAGAAAGATCAGAAGAGCGGCAGCCAGAGTTTTATGGAAACCAGAAGCGGTAGAGTAGGAAGGATTCATGTCCAAAATCACATGGGAAACCACTACCTTCCCTAGAAAGAAAGGCGGCGTGGGAATACTAGACCCACAAAGACAGAACTGGGCCCTTTTAGCCAAGTGGATTGTCAAGGCACTGTTGACAAGAGACGAACCTCCCTGGTTGATGCTTGCTATATATATTCTGAAGGAGGAGTGGTCCTTGAGTCCGGACGAGGATGCATTGGCCTGTTTCATGATCAAATCATGCAGTAATAAAAAGCCAAAATCTCCCTTTTAGAGAAACATTCTCTTTGCCTGACATAAAGTGTTCCCAGATGAACAAGTGCACCCGCGGACAAAAGACTCTATACTAACTCAGGTACTATTCGAAAATCCACTGATATGTAGAGCCTCTGGTGAATCCTTCTCTGCACATGATTCTCCTGGTTGCTTTGGTAAGTCTTGGATTGAAAGAGGCATAGTCAGAGTACGGGACATTTGGACTGAGGACTCGGGGTCTTGGCGAACAGAGAGGGATTTGAGAGCCAAGTTGGGTAGAGTGAGGAATGTAGGTGGAAGACTGCAAACGCTCATTGATGCTACTCCTTGGTCGTGGAAAAACACGTTGACAGAGTCTCTCATCCCAACAGGTGGCCTGTGGTTGAGACACTATACCGACCCGGAAAGGGTGGTATATCAGGTCACAGATGATTTGGGGCCAGATGGATTTGCTGCAAAAAAATGGATATTGTCAGATACTTTTAGCTACTCCTTAAAACTCACTCTTGACTCAGATGTTAGGTTGGACTCTATTATAGATCTAGTGGAGATAGCAATAGAAGTTTCTCAGAAGAAAGCACCAGCGGGGGGTACCTTGATACAGGTTGTTAAGTTACCACAGGGCCCTACACCGTTGAAGAACGCTGCGATAGATTTTCGAACACTTGGATGGGTCATCGGGAAAGACAGGTTTAACTTGAGTCAATACTCATCCAAGGTTGGAACTTCCCTCTTGCGAGGCAAAGTGACAAAGCCGCCATGTGACTCCCTTATTCAACGAAGGCAAAAAAACGATCTCCTGGCATTATCTACTCAACAAATCGAATCTCTATTCCAACAGTTCAGAGGGCTCCCCTCTCAGAAGCTTGCCAGTCTGCTCTGGATACAACTTTTTTCTGCAACAGCATCGGTCGTTAATCTGGCTCAGAGAGGTATGAACGTTTCGGAAAAATGCATTCGCTGTGGGTGGATGTGGGAGAATGACAGACATCTGTGGCTGACTTGTCCAACCTCCATACGAATATGGGACTGGTTCCAGTATCATTGTAAACGGATCTCAAAGGAGGAGTTTAATTGGTCAGACGAGTGGATAGTTTCAGGAATACATCAAGCAGGGAATAAAAAAGAGACAGACTGGTTGTATGTCGCCCGGCAAATTAGAGGAATCATTCTGAAAACGATATGGGATGACAGAAATAATCAACTGTTCAAAAGGGAGTTTACTGCAGATGCGGCTATTAAGATCAAGATTACTCGTCATATTCGGACTACCATTAGCAGCGACTGGATCAGGCGAAGACAGAGATCAAAGAATGGGATATTAACCAGAAGATGGTTACTTGATACATGGGGCAGGAACAATAGCCTGTTGAAATTGGATATGAAAGACAAAATCTGTTTTTGTCCTTGGCTGCTTTCCCCACTGGGGTTCGGGGAGCGGTTTAGCCACCCCCCCTAGATGAGGGAGAGACTGGTAGAAAGTAGCCTTGAGGTACAATAGGCCACCCCCTTTTTTTTATTTTGAGAGTTCTGACGTTAAGGGACACTGGACCCGGTTTCCAGAAGCCGATTCATGGGTATTGGCCCCAGTTTTTACACCGGGTTGTTTGTGAGGGTTTTCCCGGCCCTCTTTGTTCCCTCAATAAATAAACTGATCTCTTCTCTCAAACAATATATATATGAGGGTTCAGCCTCCTTATGAGTCGGTGAAACTCCGACGAAACAGTTTGTCACAGCCCCTCGTTTGTTGTCCTCTTCTCTCTCTCTGCCTACGGTTTACCGGGCAGTTCTGTTTGTGACGATATATAGTCGGGGCCGTAACTAGGCGGCCATGCTGTGCCTCTAGTGCCAGCGGCGTGTCTGGAG